CCAGGAGCCATTATAGGACTTCTACCATGAGCCACATCTTCTGTGCAGAAGCACCTGGTCCTGCAAGTTGGTGCTACTGAGAGCAAAGTAGGAACTGCATATCAATCACAAGAGCATCTGGGTTCTGACAGCTATTCTGCATCCAAAAGTCGTCTTCATTTGGTGTTTGGTACAAGTCAGCATTCCTGCTCAGAAGCTGACGTCGACTCCTCAGTGCACACAAGGCTAAGGCCAAGACTCCTCATCCTGGAGTCCATTCACTTAGGGATTGGCATGGCCGCTTCTTGCAGACCCTTCACAGAGCCACTACTCCATCCAGGTGGGTGAGCTTGGACGTCCTCCATGCATCTCTCTTAGGGATGCAAAGCTGGCTGCAAGGAAGACCCCTGGCCAGGGCAAGGCCTGTGGTGGGTACTCACCATTAGGACTCTGCTCTGGAGGAATCTGAGCCTCAGAAAGGAAGTGGTCCCAGAGGAGCCTCTGTTCTAGGGGACAATCACAGACTGTATACATCTTGAATCTGAATGCTTCCCTATGTCTCCACTACCACCTACCTCACCCAAGTCACCATTGTCATCCGCATGATATTATTGCCATAGCTCTCAAAGATCTTCCCTTTATTTCTTGCCCCTTTAAGCACATAAGCTAATCCTGTTTCTTCTCTCTTTAGAACCATGCAAAGGCTCTCCACTTTGGTCAGAGTAAAAGGCCAAGTTGATACCTGAGCCTACAAGGCCGTCCGAGAGCTGGACTCTTGCCAGAGTGTCTGACTTCACCTACTTGGCTCAAGTCTCCTTTTTATTCTTTGAAACCTACCAGGCACAGCTCACTGTGGAATGCACACAGAGTGGCCCCCCTACCAGAAGCAGTTTCAGTTCTGACTGCCCCATGACTTCCTTGCCCCTCTCCTTCGAGCCTGTGCTCAGCTCTGCCTTCTTGGTGTGCCCTTCCTTGATCTCACCTTTGAAAACTGTAAGGCCTATTGTAACCCCTTCCTGGCAACCCAGACACCAGATCCTTCCTACTCTGTTCCAACATTTCTTCCTCATAACATTTAACCACCTTATATCACATCATGTCATTAGGTAACTAGTTTTATCATCTGTTTTCCTTCACCAGAATGGAAACTTATCAAAAGCACAGATTTGTTTTGGATTATTTTCTTCAGTGCTGTACCAGTTGTATAGAACAATGTCTGGCATAGGCCATGTCCTCAATAATTATATGTTAAAACCCTCAAGTAAATGTTTTTATTCTTTTTTTGCAAAATTCTATAATAAAAATTCAAACCTATAGACTAGATGAAAGAATTGAGGCTCCTGGCCAGGGTGATAGCTAGGCGGTCTAAACACCTGCCTGGCAAGTGCAAGGACCTGCGTTAAATCCCCAGTACTGCATGCTGTGCCAGCCCAGGAACCCTGGGCATACCATGCTGGCCACTGAAACTGGGTGTGGTGACACAAACCTGTAATCCCCGTGCTGGGGAGCCTGAGACAGGAGAAACACTATGAGTCCGAGATGTGTAGTGAGACCCTATACTAAATAAATAAAATATTCTTTTTAAATTAAAAAAAAAAGAATCAGAGTTCCTATCAGAGCAGAGATGGCAGAATGCACACTTCAATACACACGATGATTGGGGCTACAGCAACTTCGGTGGTGACAAGGGTTCCGTGGCAGTGCTGTGGCCATGGTTCCTGTAGAGCCCTCCTGCACAGCCTATGTAGGAAACCTCCCTTTTAATGCAATTCAGGGTGACATAGATGCTATCTTTAAGGATCTCAGCATAAAGAGCACACAGCTAGTCAGAAATAAAGACACAGTCAAGCTTAAAGGATTCTGCTGTGTAGAGTTTGATGAGGTGGACTCCCTACAGGAAGCCCTGACCTATGACAGTGCACTGTTGGGTGATCTGGCGCCTCAAGTGGACATTGCAAAAGGCAGAAAACGAGACAAAGGTGGCCTTAGATTCAGGAAAAGCACATCAAATGACAGGTTACAGGGATGACTTTCCAAGAGGCCAAGGAGACAGTCAGTTACCCAGGGCACTGGCGAGCAGGCCCTCCCATGGGGAGTTGCTCCAGAGATGGCCCCCCGCTGTGCAGCACAGAAACCATGGCTCCAGTCCAAACCTTGAACAGTGGCAACACCCCCCAATCAAGGAGCCAACCCCACCCCACCATCTTCCGGGGATCCAGGTCCAGAGAGGAAGTTGTGAACAAGGAGCAGGAATGAGCACATGATGGGAATGCAGGGTGGGGAGTTAGAGAGGGACTGCTCCAACAGCTTGGACGGGCTGCCCCGCAGACATCATTTCTGCACCAAACATTGTCCTCCGTCCTTACAGTGGAAACACCAAGCTTGTGCATGCATGTCAGCTGTTGACAAGTGGCTTTTCAGTACGTCCTTGGCTTTGCCATACCTAGCTAGTGCCTGTTTTGTGCTTTTTATTTTTATTTTTCTCTGTCTTTGTTTCCTCTGTCCATCGTCCCTGTAGTCCCTATGTCTTTCCAGCACATGGTGTCTGGAGGAGGTATGAGGCCTGCCATGTGGAAGGCGCAGGCTCAGGTGCCACTTGCTTTGGTTCTTCTCCTTTGCCATCTCTTTATTTTCCACATGGGCCAGACTTGATTTTTCTCAGTGCCTCTCTTCTGACCTGCATGCTGAGTTCTGTGTCGCTGTTATTTCCAGGAAAGAGCAGAAGTTGCCGGCAAGTTGGTCAGCTGTGACCAATAAGCAGCATTGGATGAACCTTGTATTGAAAATAAGGGAAAAGTCCTGTTGATCCTTAGGGCCTCCTTCCATCCTGCATCCTCCCTGCATCCTGCTCCCAGGGTGTCCTGTCTCCATCAGCCCTCCCCAGGGCTGGGCAGGCAAAGCAACTGTGAGGCCTGGGAAGAGTGACAAGTGTGTTGGTGGTGTTCCTCTCTTGCTAGCCAAGGGCTCTGTGTGTTCAGGCAGTTTGCTGGGCTCTCCAGAGACCATGTCCAGATAGTTCCTCTCTGGAGGCTTCAGGCACTCCCTGTGCTGACTGTCATGGCTGGCCAGTGGCTTGTGTTACCTCCACAGGCTCAGGTGCTGTGGGAACTAGGCAGCGGTGGTACTAGGCTGGACTGACACAGTGATGCAGACCTTCTCCACATCCCTGTTGTCTGTTGGGTGTCTTCCCATTGGGTCTGTTCCTGCAAACGCAGTTTACTGAGAGTGCTTCTCACTGCCCAGTGAGCCCATAGTAGAAATGGCCTTGAAACTGGTACTTTATTTCCTGTGGTGAATTGGAAGTTTTCCTATGCCAAGCTGTGCAGACCCTCGCTGACTGCTAAGGATAATAGACATTCCAGCTGGCCTCCTCATGTCCGGGACCTGCTTGCTCTCACATGGACTGCTTTTTCACCTAGGAGGAACATGTTGGGCAGCAACTTCTGAGCTCAGAGGCTTCGTGTGAGTGGGTGCAAAGTCCTATAGTGCCTGAGTTGCCATCTGTCCCAGTGGGAGCTGCTAGAGCCCCGGAGAGGGGAGACACAGCAGGATCACTGGAAGGCCAAGGGCAGCAGTGTGGCTTATTGGCCTGGGGTTCCCCGTGCGTGATCATCCTTGGCCTCTCTGACTTGTGTCTGTTGCAAAACCACAGCAACTTACAGAACTCATGTTTATCCCCTCTGCTTAGCATCTTCTCTGCTTCTGAGATAAGAACCATTCGTGTAGCACCAACACCTAACTTAAGAAAGACATGCATTATGTGGCTGTGACAAACCTGATGCTTTGAGATGAGCTCATCCTCAATGCAGACAGATCAAGAACAAAACAAATCCACCCACATCACTGGGGATCTAGCTGGCTTCCAGATGTGAGGGTGGAATTCCAAGCTCTCAACACATTCAGCTGTATGACAGAAAGTAAATGTATAGATATGGCATTTTTGAATGAGCTTTTAAGTAAAAGAAAAACCTTACTAAAAAAAAGAAACCTTACAAAAAATTGGTACAGTGAACCACTTATCATACAGATAATATTTTGCTGTATTTGACTTGTCACCTACCTATCCATCAATACATCCATCTATTCATCAATACATTTGTATGCATTTCAGGGTAAATTGTAGACATCAATACTCTTTTCCCCTAAATACTTCATCATTAAATGAGAGTGTAATATTTACCTGTCAGAAAAAATTGACATCAGTGAAAAGCACAAGTCTTAAGTGTAAATTCACTGAAATTTGACAAGTGAGTTTTTACCTGTGTAATTCAAAGTCCTATTAAGATCGAGAATGTAACTATCACTCTCAAGCTTCCATCAAGACCTTCCTAGTCAATCCTCTAGCAGACACAAACACTATTGTTATTTTTCCGCTATGGTTTGGGCAGTGTAGAATCTCAAGCACACAGAATAATACAATATACGCTAAAATTTGTCAATACTTTCTATAAAGAAAATGTGTTCAGGCAGTATCTACAGTGAACTACTGCAAACAACCAGCTGACATCACAGAGATACTGTGACATCTCCTCACTGTGAATAATGTTTCCTAGACTGATCAAAAGGCTGGAGGTCTGGGCAGTGGCCCCCTCTCTTCAGCCCTCCAGTCACTGAGATATCACAGAAACAAAAGCGGAGATGCAGGCCCCATGCGCTATCTGAACCCTTGGTTGCTTCCTGTCTTTCACTCCTTCACTCCAGACTGACCTTGGAGGCCTCTCGAGAGCCCCACTCTCACCCACTTCCTTCCTTCTCTGAGGCTTCATCCAGGTGTGCAAGGGAATGTCACAATCTCAGCACAGGCTGACTTCAAGTACAGAAAGGCAGGCAGTTGGAAAGAAATGCCAAAGCAGAGGCGGCATTGCTGTTGCAATTCTGTGGAGGGTGTGACGGGTTGCGGGTAGAGACTGGGCAGCTGCTGGAGAAAAAAAGCATGAAAGCAGCAAACATCCACAGTCCCTGAGTAGTCAGGACCGGCCAGCCGAGCAGCACACACCCAGAGAGGCTAGAAGCCTGGAATTATGTTCTTGCTCTCCAGAAAGGACCTCAAGACCGTGTTGGAGGTCTTTGCTGTTTTCCAGTGGGCACTCAGTGCTCTTCTTATCAGTGAGTCTTTGGGCTTTGGCAAAGGGTGACCAAACCATTCTGGCTGGCTTGGGACTGCAGGATTTCAGCGCTGAAAGTGTGGTTGTCCCAGGCAAACTGGAACAATTGGTCACCCTGGCCTGTGGTCTGCCCCAGCTGGGCATGGTACGTGTGAGTGCTGGGAGTGAGCATGTGAGCACGTGCATGTTCGTATTCAAAGGGGGTGCATGTGTGTGTGTGTGTGTGTGTGTGTGTGTGTGTGCGTGTGGCAGGCAGGTATAGTCAGACTGCAGTGCAGAGGGCAAGTTTGGGATGATGAGGAGCAGTTCCACTGAGGCTGGCCTAGAAGGGTTTGACTCCAACCACAGGGATTCAAGCAAACCATCAGCAGAAGAGATGACCTGGTGGTGCAAGAGACTCTGGAAATCTGTGAGCCAGGGGAATTGAACCCTGCCTCCCTGGCCCTGACACTTGTACCATAAGCTTTGTGAAAGCGACTTATTAGCTGGTTATTGTATTCTGGATGCTCAAGCAAGCCACCACTGGGCGGAGGGGGGGGGGAACTACAAAACAATCGTGCCTGTCCAGTGCTTTGGGTGGGTGCTGGCTGAGTCAAGGCAAGGAGTAAAGGGAGTTCGGAAGCTACCTGGGAATTGAGACTGGAGGCAGGCCCTCTGCACATGGAGCAGGCTTAGAAGCATGCCAGCAAAGAGGGAGGGTGGCTATTCTTTACCTCGGCTCACCAGGAATGGGAGCTTTGGGTGGGTACCAGTACCCTCTAGTTCTGAAAAGAACAGTATTAATTAACCTAGGAATGATGGCAAAACTGGAAGAGACCACGAAGACCTTTGTACCATGTATTTTCACATCTATTATTTCCTTTAGCTTATGCCAGTCTTCCGGGCTAGAAGCTATTCTGTGCATAATAATCCACACTATTGGCTACACACACTGATGATAGCTAACACTCACTAGAATTAGCTCCATTATTTCTTCCCTTTGTTCATGCCAGGTGCTGTTCTAAACACCTTATTATGGCTAACAATCTGCATTGTATGGATAAGGGAGCAGAAGTCCATGGAATACTTGGACTTCTAAGTGGTCTTTCCAAGATTACAGGGCTAGGATGGAGGAGCTGGGCTGTGAGTGTCGCTCACAAGAGCATGAGACCAGCCTGTGAGCTTTTTTCTCATCCCTTGTACTTGCCTCCTCACTACTGGTTGGGAGGCTGGATGTGGAAACCAGAATAAGAGGGAGCCAGGCCTTTTGGATGTGTCAGAGGTCCTGAATGCAAGCTGGAAACGACTGGCTCAGAATGGTGTCCCACTGAAGGCAGGGGACCCAGCTGGTCCTGTGTTCTCCTCCCTGCGATGTGACCCAGGTAAGCATGCTCCTAAGAAAAGCTGAGCTCCTTATTTGGCTGGAGGGACAGCCATCCTCATTATCATTCTTGCAGTTGCTGGGTCTCAAATTGGAGGTGAATTTTCCAGGAAGAAAACTGAGGAAGAGCAGTTTCTCTGTCTGGGCTGTAGCTTCTTCCACTTAGTTAACAAGATTCTTTAGTATTAGTTCCAGGGTTCTTAGAAATTGGAGCCAATAGCCTTGTGCTGCCTGTACGTGCTGCTCTGATGCAGAAGCTTAAGGATGCTGGATTCTGTTCCACAGGTTGCATAACCCTCATCTGAAACGCTTAGAACCAGAGTGCTGCAGATTTCAAAATAGGTAGAAGGTAGGAGTATCTACACAGACATTATGAGATGTCTTGCAGGTGGGACCCAAGTCTAAAAGCGAAATTCATTTATGTTTCATATACACCTTGTACACACACTCTGGAGATAATTTTATACAATACTAGAGGGCTGGCCAAGTAGCTCAGCGGATTAAAGCGCCTGTAAGCAGGAGCAGGGGCTGGGGATTCGATCCCCGGGCCTGCTGTGCCAGCCCCGCTCCCGGGGTGCGCTGAGATGTCAACTGAGACTGGATGTGGTGGCGTGCGCCTGTAATCCCAGCTCTTGGGAGGCTGTAAACAGGCAGATCACTATGAGTCTGATCTAGTAGTGAGACCCTGAACACCCAGAAGACCCTTCACTAATATACAAATATATATATATATATATATATATATATATATATATTGCAAGAAATACATATATATGTATGTATTTCTTGTGCACCTTTATTTTGATTGTGATTATCTCATGAAGTCAGGTGTGGAATTTTCTACTTGTGGTGTCATGTCAGGGCCCTAAAAATTTTTTTCCCATAATTTTATTGAGAAACAAATAGCAATGAGACAGTTTCAAACCAAATTGGTAGGACAGTTTCAATAATTAACACATTGCATATATTCTTCCCAGTGGTTAATTGCTGTACAAGATGCGGACATGATATCCTATTTACAAACACCATTAGAGCAAATCGCTCTATTCATTAAGAGAATGTAACTATATATCTATCCTAACCACTTTGAATACACAGATACAAAATGGACATTCATCTGTATCCCCTTTTTTTGTTAAGTTCCATCATTTAAATATGATAGGTGTGTAAACTCAGCAAAATATTCTAAAAGAGTCCAGTAGTCCATAATATTGGGTCTTCCACTTGACTGGCAATGTCAGAAATTGTTGACCTGAGTCCCCTAGAGCTCAACATAACACCATAGGGCCCTAAAAATCTTTAGGATTTAGGAATAGTTTGGATTTTGGATTTTTAGAATGAGATGCCCAAACTAGTGCTCTCTCTCTCTCTCTCTCTCTCTCTCTCTCTCTCTCTCAATCAATCAATTCAGGATATTATGCAAGGTAGGTGGGCTGGAGCTCTACAACTGAGCCACATCATTAACCTTGTATTGTCTTTTTCGAGCTTTTGTACTTTCCCAGTTTTGGCACGTTACCACCCTTTCCTCTTCCCATCACTGCAGCAGTGTTCCCACATGACAGCAGCGTCCCCAAAGCCTAAGGTCTGACACTGCATCAGGAGCAAATGTTCATTTTTTTGAAGGGTACTATGGGCCAGGCCCCATGGAGGCCTGCATTTCTCCTCCTCAATCCAATTCCCAGTCTCACTCCTTAGTGATAACAACTGTTAATGTTTTCGTTCTTGCACATGTATCCAGGAGTGACGCAGATTTGACACAGATGCACACACGTGTATGCATACACGTATATTCATGGATATGTTACACTGCCTATCCACAGGGCAGTATAATATGGGGTTGAAAATGCAGTCTCTGATCCCAGACTGCCTCTGTGCAAGTCTGCGCAGCTTCTAGCAAATTATTTATGTTTTCTGAGTCTTGTTTCCCTCCATTGTAAATGGGTGTATTCAGGGCGCATTAGCCAGAATAGTCTAGGTGTACTGTGGTAATACGTTAACCTTGAACTTTAAGTGGCTTAAGTCAGCAAATGTTGATTTTCCATGCTCCAAGTCCACAACAGGTTGGTGGCATCTCTGCTCTCAGTGGACGATAGCTGCTTAGGCTGATGAAAGCACCAGCAAGTTGTGACACTGAAAACTGTAGTTGCAGGACCTGGCAATGCATGGGAAGGAAAGCAAGAACTGGAAGTGATAAAAATGAGTCAAATCCTTATTTCGAACTTTCTTAGTTTTAAATGATGTTGAATCTTTTTGTATGTTCATCTGCAATTACTTTTTTTTTTTCATTAACTGCCCAATTTTGACCTTTCTCCATTTTTCTATTGAATTTGAGCTGTCTGATGAAAGACAAAGAAGGGTGAAGAAGAGGTAGGCATTGCAGGTAAACAGTGGGCAGCACAGGACAGGGCCAGGAGGGGGAGAGCCTTGGCTTGGCAGGGGCTACTTGTGCTTGTGTGACATGGGCAATGAAGGGCACAGAACTGGCGGTTCACACATACATGAATCAAAGATGGAAGAAAATAAAGAAGAGGGCAGGGGAAAGACTGCAGCAAGTGTTCAAAACCATGGGAAGGAGTTTAAACTTTTCCCTGAGGACCATGTGAAGATAGGATGGGGCCTGCCCCAAGGTAATGGCAGCAGATTCTCATTTCTGAGAGCTTGCTATAGCTCTCTCCAGCAGAATTATTATAGGAAGACAAGAATGGAGTGGCAATGCTACACGGGAGTTAGAGACAGTGATGATTTAGGGCAATAGTGATGGGGATGAAAAGAAGATGGTTCAAGAGACTGGAGGAGGGCTGTGGAGATAGCTCAGAGGTATAACTGCCTGCATGGCAAGTGCAAGGATCTGGGTTCAATCCCTGGTACTGCATGTTTTGCCAGCCCCAGAAGCTGAGCGGGCCATGTTGGCCACTGAAGCCAGGCGTGCTGGCGCATGCCTATAATCCCAGCACTGGTGAGGCTGAGACAGGAGGATCACTATGAGTCTGAGCTGCGTAGCAAGACCTTGTACCAAATAAATGAAAGATTAACTAAAAGAGAGATTTGAGGAGAAATAATATGACTTGATGATCAGATGTCAGTGAGAAAAAGAGAGAGCAAGACCGAGGGTTCAGCTGGGTATGGTTGCGCATTCCTGTAGCCTCAGCATTCTGGAGGCTGAGCCAGGAGGATCACCACTGGTTCAAGGCCACCCTGGACTATGTACCAAGACCCTGTCTCAGAACCAAAACCAAACAAACAACAAAGAGGGAGGGTTCTGGTCCCAGGTGAGCTGGTGGAGGCAGGGACAGAGAACATTGAGAAGGAGACAGGCTGAAAGGGTCCTGAGCACAGAGAAGGAACTGGACCAGGGGACCACTTTCATTTTTTCATTTCTGGGGATCAAATCAGGGCCTTTGTTTGCAGTACATCCCCAGCCATTGTTTATTTTGAGACAGTCTTGGCAAGTTGCCAGGCTAGGCTCTACTTGTGATCCTCCTACCTCAGCACTAGGCACTACTACCATGTTTAGACCAGAGGCTTGGGTTTTTTTTTTCTTTTTCTTTTTTTTTTTTTTTTTGAGACAGAGACTTGCTGTGCAGTTCAGGCGGGATTTAAACTTGTTGTGATCCTCCTGCCTCAGCCTCCTGAGTGCTGGGATTATAGGCCTGCATCACCATGTCAATTTTCTTCTATTTTGAGGGAGAGATTCTTTACTAGGGCCTGGCTTTGGGGTGTACTGAGAGGGAATATGGGGTGTGAAGAAGACCTCTAGTCCCTGGTGGCGTATGTGAGTTCCAGGGCTATTGCCTTGCTTCCCAGCTGACTTTGGGCAGGTGGGGCAAATGGCTCTTTGATCCTCTCTAACTGTCCAATATAGAAGTGGAACTGTATTCATTTGGACACTAATGACCTTGAGGAAATGCCATCAAAATAAGGCTGTAAATAAGATAGGGCAGATACTGGTATTTTAATTCTCACTTTTCAGATGAGGAACTGAAGGCTAGCGATGTCTTTGATCACACGCAAGTTGCAGATACAGAACGCATCCCCTGGCAGGGGATGCCACATAGGACCAAACTCATGAGATCTCATAAGGCTAGGCTTGAGCCTAGGGAAGTGGGAGGGGCCCTCTGGACCAGATTCGCGCCTCTCTTTAATCCTTACTTAGTATTATTATTAAGATTCTGTGACTGCTTGCCCTTGCTCTGCCTTTAGTCTCAGAGGCAGTCAATCATTCTGAATTTTGTTAGTTCTTTTTGTCTGATGTAAACTTCCATATTTCTAAAGTTTATGATTTGTCATTTCTAAGTATTACTATTTTTTGATGCAACAATTTTAGATACTGTCCATTGACTTTCTGTACTGAAGATGAAAATTTGGCTCTACAAAGTATTGATACAGCTTTCGCTACCCTCTCCTTCCAAATTAGTTACAGCACAGATTTTGGTTAATTGCTTGACTGTGACCAGGAAATGATATTCACATCAGAGCTGTTTCGTGGACCAGGGTTCAATTGCCTTTATTGTGACCCTGTTGTTAGTAGCAGACTCATTTTTAAATTTCTTTTACTATTACTGCATGTCCATTATCACTAATTTATCCCAGGCTCTCCACAGTCAAATTAATCTTCCAAGTGTCCAAACATATGAGGAATCTCCCAGCTCCCTAACTCTTATTTCTGTGAGGACATTGCAGCCGGAACCCAGCAGCTTCCTGATACAGCCTGAATTCCTACAAATCTGTCACTTCCAAAGCACTTGAGAAAACTTGGTGTGGAATTTAGAAATGTGCTTCCACTCAGAGATATGCAAGTGTGTGGCTGGCCCTTGTACATCCCCAGGCATGAGCGTGGCCCTAAATTCTTTTGTCCTGGGGGCCTTGTGTTTTTTCCCAGCCTTGCTTTTGTTTAGTTTTCTCCTTTATTGTTTCCCCTTTTTCCTGTACCCTATGCCTTCCTTCCTTTTTTTTTTTTTTTTTTTTTTGGTTTATGCCTCATTTATTTATTTGTTGTTGTGGTACTGGGGATTGAACACAGGGCCTTCCCACTCAGCTACGTGCCCAGTCCCTTTTAGTTTTTATTTTGCAACAGATGCCCAGACTTATGATCCTCCTGCCTCAGCCTCCCTGAGTGGTGGGATTAGAGGTGGGCACCGCTGCACCAAGTTTATCACCTCATCTCAGTGAAACACATTCTCCAGTAGTTTCCTGGAAAGGGAGATGGGAGACCAACTATCTGAGACCAGGTATTTCTGAGATTGTTGGTATTCTACTTTCATAATTGATTAAAAGTTAACTTTCTATAGAATAGTGTCACTGTGTGTATAGTAGCTCCTCACATTACGATGGGGTCCTGTCCTGATAATCCCAGCATAAATTGAAAATATAAATGGAAAGTTTATGAATACATCTAACCTACAGAACATCACAATTTAGCAATACGGTACACTGCATAGTATTATTTGCTTATCCTCAAGATGGAAATCGCTCAACTCTCCTACCTAGCATGTGGGAGAGGATGGTGCTGTGGATCGCTAGCCCGGGAAAAGATCCCAATGAAGTATCTGCAGTATGAGGCCTACTGAACACACATCACTTTTGCACCATCATAAAGTTGCAGCACCATAGGCAAAACTATCATAAGTTAAGGACCATCTGTATTTGAATCTAGAATCTCTTTGGTTCAGTTGTTTCAGAGAATAATCATCCCACTGCCCAGTTGTTTAAGGCAGGAGTGGGAACCTGTATCTCTAATTCTGTGGCAGAAATTCAACTAATCCTTTGGACTTGGGGGCCTACGCCTTGTCCTTGCTTTTTCTGAGACCTGCTTTCTGCACATTCCGAGTCTTTTCATGATTTTCCAGCACAAGCAGGCATGCTTCTTGTAGACAGGTATTGTTACAGGCAGATTTCAAGTTTTTTTGTTCTAAGTCAGTTACTTCTTTTCTTTAGAGCATGTGAATATTTTGCTATCTCACATCCACTGATGGCACTGTGTTCTTTTTCCTAATGGATATGTATTTTGATTTTGTTTCCATTTTTATTTTTGAGACAAGGTCATTGTATAGTGCATGCTGACCTTTAACTCATGGTGATCCTCCTGCCTCGGCCTCCCAAGTGCGATTGCTGGGATTACAGGTGTGAACCACAATGCCTGATGACAGATCTGTATTTTAAGGAACATTTTTTTAGTGATAGTTTTCATGGAGCTCTAGCAAGAAGTCAAGAGAAAAACTTGTGATCAATCTGGTATGTTCAATTAGAAGTTGTTTTTGCCTTCTCTAACCTTTTTTTTTTTGTTCCCTTTCCTCTCCTTTGGATTCTGAGAGTCTACAGGGCATTCAGGATCTCACTACTAGATGGGACTCCTAGTGATCTGCCTGTTTACAGCTTCCCAAGAGCTGGGATTACAGGCGTGCACCACCACGCCCAGTCTCAATCGCAGTCTCAGCACGCCCTGGGGACAGGGCCAGCACAACGGGGATGGAATCCCCTGCCCCTGCACCTGCTTGCAGGTGCTTTAACCTGCTGAGCTATTTGGCTGGCCCTTGTAACCTTTATTTTGACCCAGTTTCCCACACAATTTTATGCACAGGTGCCTTAAAAAGAGTGCAGTCATAATTTCAAGTGAACTCTAGTCCCTATGACTCATCTCCATTAACTCTTTCTCAGTACTCTAATCTGGAGCTTTCTATTTTCCTGGAGCTTAATGCAACCCACTATCTTATTCTAGTTCCATTTGTTTTCCTGTTTTTTGCTTGCCTTCTTTGCACTCCCAACCACATTGCAGGTGGGTTTTTGCTTTCTGTTGTGTCTCCTTCGATGACTTTCAGAGAAGATGCAGAGAGAATGTGAGTTGGAAGAAAGCTGTCTGAAGCCCCTTGAACTCTGGTGGCCACCAGTGGCTCCCTGCCATTAAGCACCCTACATTCATTCAGAGCTTAGCAAGTTGCTAGGGCAGGTCCTGAGGGCAGGGGGCTTAGGGTGAGAAGCTGAGTTTGACAGGAAAACACCTTGCCTGCTAGACCTAAGTCTAGGTTCCAAGGAAAGAGAGGAGAGGGAGGCTGGGATGTGGGCATATGGACTGTGTGCCGGGGTGGGGGAGAGCAAGCAGTGAGCAATCTTGGCTCAGCATGCGTGACCATGGGATGGCAGAACTCGGGAGAGAGGGTCAGTGTGAGGGGTTGTTCACAATCCATTCATTCTGGGGTGGGATCCCTCCAGTAACGATGGTGATCCTTGTCAACCTCTACCTACTGGTGTTCACATCATACTGGCTTATCACTGTGCTCATTTTCATCTGGCTGGCTTTTGACTGGAAGACCCCTGAACGAGGTAAGGGCCCAACTGGGCTGGGTTGCCTGTGCCACCTGCTCTTCCCTTTCCTCTCCTTTGGATTCTGAGAGGCTCTGGCCAGTTCCCAGGCAGCCTTTCAGCCTCTCCCCCTGGGCTAGAGAAGCTGAGGTGTTGGAAAGGCCACCCAATCTGAAGTGGAGTGGGCTAGGGGAGGGGCATCGAATGAACCAGAAGCTTAGCCTGTTGTAAGCTGGCCTGGACCTGCCCAACGTGGTCATCACTTAAGAGGTCAGGGAAGTGCAAGGGGTGAGAGGACCCTATGGCAGGCCCAGAAGGCATGGCACAGGACACGGGGGCTGAACATGGCTTGTTTGCATTGTGCTGCTTACAGGCGGCCGCCGATTCAACTGCGTGAGGCGATGGAAACTGTGGAGACACTACTGCAATTACTTCCCTATCAAGGTGAGCAGCTCTGAGCTCCAGCTGGCTACCTGCTCAGCTGCAATTCTAGTGCTAGCAGTTGGGTCCTGGAGGCCTCTGAGGGTGCCCCCAGCCCATGGGAGTTGGACATTGCCCAACCAGCATCCCTTTCCCTTCCAGATCTCTGACCTAAAGAGCAGGTCTCTTTCCTGGCTATCGCACTCCCTGACTGCACTTTCCTCTACAGCTCCTGAAGACTCATGATATTTCCCCCAGCCACAACTACATCCTCGCTTGCCACCCCCATGGGCTCATGTCTCATGCATGGTTTGGCAATTTTGCCACTGAAGCCACAGGCTTCTCCAAGATCTTTCCTGGCATCACCTCCTATACACTCACACTAGGAGCCTTTTTCTGGGTACCTTTCTTGAGAGACTACATAATGTCTACCGGTAAGTTGGCTCAAAGTTGGGGGAATGGGTAAGAGCAAGGCCAACTCTGATCCCCTCTGGCTGCCTTTGGCTCACCTCCCTGACAAGGGGCTCCTTGCTGTCCTCTTCCTTTGAAGACGGACAGATGAAGGGAAGAACATTAGGATGCTTGGGAAGCGGCCAATGACCTCTCAGCTTTTTCTACCCCCCAGGGGTCTGCTCTGTGAGCCAGTCCTCCATGGACTTTCTGCTTACTCAGAATGGCAAAGGGAACATGCTCATTGTGGTGGTCGGTGGTCTGGCTGAGTGCAGATACAGCCTGCCGGGGTCTTCCAGCTTGGTCTTGAAAAACAGATGCGGCTTTGTGCGCATGGCCCTTCGTCATGGGTAAGGACAACTCTGGTCAAAAGGGTGGTGGAGGATCCAAAAGCCCAGTGGTGAATGAAGGAGAAGCTTTGAAGAAATAGTATCCAAATGAGGAGGAGGAGGAAGAGGAAGTATATGATCCATTACTGTGAACTATAGCCATCATAACCATATACAATTGTTATTTGTTGATTTAAAATAAATGAGAGCTGGAGGAAAGCCACCTCTGGGTTGGAGCAGAAGCAGGGCTAGGTCCTAGAGGCATTTCTGCTCATGAAGACAGCATTCAAGGCCAAGCCTTGTTGTCCTCCATCTCCAACCCGGGCCAGTTCCTCTACACATGGGGGTTGGCTACCACCCTAGCTCAAGAGGAGGCCAGATGAAACACGGTGGGAAAGGGGAAGGAAGCCGTGTGATGTGGCCCTTGGGTCTTATCATACCACGACTCATGCCTGAGGGGTTCCAGAAGTGCCCCAGGCTTGCTTCCTTCAGGTTGCTACTGTTTTGTCCCCACAGGTAGCCTGGGCTAAGCCAAAGAAACCCCCAACCCCAGGCTGGACCTAGAGTCAGCTGACCCAGAGCCCACTGGTGGTCAACATGTCTGCCAGTCAACAGGGTCCTTGTCTTTCTGGGCATTAAAGGACATGCTTTCCCTCCACAGGGTGGCTCTGATCCCTGCCTATGCCTTTGGGGAGACAGATCTATACGATCAGCACATTTTCCCTCCGGGGAGCTTTGTAAGCTGCTTCCAAAAGTGGTTCCAGAGCCTAGTGCACATCTACCCTTGTGCTTTCTATGGGCGTGGCTTCACCAAGAACTCCTGGGGCTTTCTGCCCTATGCACAGTCTATAACCACCGTTGGTGAGTGGGCACTTCTGTGGGCACCCTTGGTCTGGGATCCAGGATGTGGTTCAGGCTGATCCTTAGCTCTGGCTGTGCGCCGAGGCAGGGAAGCTGGCCAAAATGAGAGATGGGTTGGAGAGAGCGTGGGCTTGAGGCCTGGAGCCCACTAGCAGCAGTGAGCTACTCTGATATTTTCCCCTTTGCCTTCTCTGTGTTCCCTGGCAGTTGGGGAGCCTCTACCAATGCCCAAGATTGAGAACCCAAGCCAGGAAGATGTGGCTAAATACCACACACTCTACATTGATGCCCTGCGTAAATTGTTTGATGACCATAAGACCAAGTTTGGCATCTCAGAGACCCAGGAGCTGGAAATACTTTGACATCCCCAGCAGCCTCATAACCTTGCTGGGAGGTGCAGCACTGGTGGACACAGGACAAATTCCACTTGGGCTCCCACTCCTAATACGACCGGTCTTCATCATGGGGAGAAGCTGGCCAGCTGGTTGGTGTTGTACCCATTTTTTTCCATTTCTGTCCCTCTCTTAGCTCTTTGCCTTTTCCTTGGGGAAGTGGCCCCAAGAGGCCCTAAGGTAGAAGGGTCCTGGCTCCCTCACGGGAGCAACCAGCATTGAAGAAACCAAAGCACAAAATAAAATGCCCGTCTGATACTGAGTATGCCCCAACGAGTCTGCTTGGGGGGCTGTAGGGACACATATCTTCCTTTCTCTACCCCCCAAACATCTCCATTTTATAGCAAGGAGATGCCTGCAGGATAAGACGCCTCAAGAACTGGGCTGAGTTCAAGCTCCACGAACTTCAAGTCATGACTCTGAAGGTAGTCAGTCACTTGAGCCTCAGTTTTCTTATCTGTCAAAGGGGACTAATAATCCCTCTCTTGCTTACCTCAAAGATCAAATGATATTGGATTTCATAAACCACGGAGCTACTCAAAATTCGTTTTCTTTTTGCAGTACCGGGGATTGAACTTGGGACCTTCAGCTTGCCAGGCAGGTGTTCATGCTGCTGAGCTATCTCCCCGGCCACAGAATTCTCTTCTGACCATTCCACTCATTTCCTATCCCTGAGCAAACAATGCCATAAGTCTCATGGCATTTCAGTTTTTCAAAGGAATTACACAGCATAGGATCTTGTGTTGAGAATTTAATCATGCCCCTTTGTCAGCCCTTAGTTCTCTCAGGTTTCTACTACTTAAGGTCAAGAGCTGGGCCAGGCTCAGGCCTCATTTCCTGTCTTTATTCCAGCAAGGATTGTGCTTGCCTGGCCTTGTCTCTGCCCTTTGAGCATGAGACGAGGTACCTGGCATGGAGTAGCCATAAAGAACTCTCCTTCAGACTCTTAGCCCATTGCTTGTTGTAACGACAAGTTACACAATTTGGCCCATGGGCTCCTTGTTCCATCTGTATTGGGTGGATGCCATTCAGTCCAATGGTTTACCTGTCAGTTTGCTTTAGAAAATACTGCACTTACCATGACATGACATGCTGCCTCTGCCCTGGGTACCTGCCTCGTGGGAGCTAGAGTCTGACCTCTACTCTTCTTTTCCTGTTGCTTCTTGAGCCTGGACTACCATTTTCCCTGAGCACCCATAAAGTGTTTTTGTTTTCTGGTGCTAGAGATGGAACCCAGGGCCTTGTACATGCTGAGGATATGAGCTATACCCCAAGGTGTTTTTAGACAGTCTACAGCATTCCTGTGACAGGTTTCCTTTAAAAAAAAACCACACCTCTCTAAAGCAGCTGGGGGACCAGCCTGGGTTCCAACATGTAGTCCACTTATACCTGGCCATTGCAGATTTGTGCCAGGCCACAGTGTGTGCTGCTCTTGTGTTACACTCCGCTTCTGTACAGTGGGGACAAAGGCTGCTGGGACTGTGAGCAGTGCCTGTTGGAGCTGTCTGAGCTGCTCTCCAGTTATCTTCCCATGACCCCCTTTCATAGTCTAGGTTCCATGGGGCTTCTCCACAGAGTGTAGAGCAGAGCATGCAGCCAAGTGACAGAGGCAGCTCAGAAGAACGCAGTGTACAGCATTGGGAGCCAGAGCAGGCGGCCACTGGCAGACAGCTTGGGTGAGCTACTCTTTATTTGCAAATTGAGATGACACTTTAGTGAGGAGGTGAATTCTGGGCTGCTCCAAGCTGTTTTGGCTCCAGGTCTGAAATATCTGTTATACTTGACCCAGCCTCAAGTTGTAGGTGGGTCCATAAGATACATCTCTGCTCCAGGACAATAGCCCTTTTGGTAGACCATCTAGCCTCCCAGACATATGGTTCCAGAAAAGCAGAGGTGACAGGGACAGAATATTTGGTCCGGGGCACAGAGAGGATGTTCAATGTTGTCACTGGAAATTCAGACTCCCACATAGCACACGGGATGGAACTAAGGGCACCGCGCAATGTCTCAGTCTCTTTTTTTGAGCTAAGCTGTCACTAAGTTGCTCAGGCTGTGCTCAAATTTACGATCCTGCTGCCTCAGCTCCCCAGAGTGCTGGGAGTACAGGCTTATACCACAGTCCCTGGCATACTGTCCTCCCCTCTAGTGCCCCCACTGGAATGGGTGGCCTGGACCTTCCCCTGGCTGATGTATGGCATTGTTTGCAAAGAAACACCTAACACGCAGGAAATGCTCCAGTTAATTTCAAGAATGGGGGCCACTTTATTTGCAAAGAATAAACCATTAATTTACACAAACTTACATCCCAGTTTATATACATTATATATAGTTTATACACACAGTATCTCACACTGGATGCTGACCCCCAAAAGCAGCATTGGGCCTGCTCCAGGCCATTCTCACAACAAAGTTCACCCCGCCCCATCCTAGCTGGAAGATCTTTGAATAGGTATGACGCACCCCAACCCCTCCCGGAGAGAGCCCTGAAATGGATTAAAAAGAAATATCATGTTCCTTCTTCACGCTAGCTTGGCCTGGGGTCATCAGGGACCTGAGGGAGCACTAGGGTAGCCTAAGGACTTTGTGGCAGCGGGCCAGTCCTGAGGCGGAGCTGGGCAAGTGCTGTGGGAGGAAGCAGAACACTAATAAAGGCTGCAGCTGCTCTCCCTGCCTGGCCAGGCTCCTGAAGGGGGCCAAACACTTCCAGCCTCGAGTCTGTGCAGGAAGAAAGAAAGGGCTATGTGGGACAAGGACAGCCTCAGGACTGGCCCACTGCTCTCTCCGGGAGGCCTTCTGTCTGCTGAGTCTGGAGGTGTGAGCTTGCGCAGGCCACCACCCCTCTCTGTGCCTCAGTTCCTACCCAAGCAATACCGGGTGGAGTACAGGTCGGGCTATATTCCCTCCAGAGGCCCTCTTTATGCTGAATTTCTCTGAATCTATTTGCATTCATTGCAAATGACACCATACACACAGACCAAAGCCTCCATTCACCTCCAAGGCTCCTAGCCCTTTCCTTTAAGCAAAAGAACCCTGGGTCAGGATAGAAGAAGAGACAATGAAGCAAACACTACCGTTTCTAGGGACCCAGGAGCCTAGCAGAGTCAGACAACTGCCTTCTGTGCCAGCTTGGCTGTTGAAGCCCAAGCAGCTGGCAGAGGCCCCTGCCACGCAATTCTCCCTTAAACCTCTGTCATCTGCTTACTAGAGGTCCTTGTCCCACTCTCCATGCTAGCCTTGGCCCTCTGGTAACTCACACCAGTGTAAACTGCAAATTGTGATGCTATGTCCAGTCTTGTTAGTAAACAAGTTAGTTCACTGCTTTGCCAGTGCCTTTGCCTCAGCAGGGCTCCCTGTTGTTTCCTTCACTGTCCTGTTTCCTCCAGGGTTTCCACTGAGGCTTCCGGATCAATGAGGGTTCTAGCAGGAACCCTACTTCCCCTCTAGCCCCACCATTCTAGACAATGGGATGGGGGTCAGAACATTGATTAGGGGCACAATTAGGAAGCCTTTCCCTTCCCTCTCCTCACATCCATGTGGCTTTAGAACCAGTCCTCTCTTGGGTCTCCTCTCCCTCCCAGGCAACAGAGGCCCTGGAACTATCAAGGTCTCTGGGGAATGGAAAGTGGTACAAGGAGTCGCACTTAGTACTGGCAAGAAGTGAGCTGACCCTGAAAGCTGCGTGGAGGAGAATGGAAGGAATCTGTCCACAAATGATGGCTGCTTGTTTTACTGGATAGGTGAAAGAAACGTGGGCCCCCAGTCCTGCGGGTCCCAGAGGACTGCGACTTGGACACAGCTCCAATAATTTTCTTCTGAACATTCGCTCTAAGGCCGATGGCTATTTGAAGAGAAACATCTGATGCTCTTGTCACAGAGGCCCTGGCAGCCTTGAGACAGGTATTAGCATCGAATAATAAAAATGTGCATCTTTCGGTCTGTCCTTGGGACCCCCAGGATGCTAGATTGGGATTAGCACCTTGATTAGCTCTCTCCTGACCCCAAATGCCACACAGTGCTGTGGTGTAAGGGGACAGCTCTGGTGTCAGACCCGGCTGAAGCCATGTTTGTGACTTACACTGGGCTAGAGAATAGTCAAGGCACTTCACCTCCCTGAGCCTCGGCTAAGCATCAGTCATCTCTGGCATCAGAAACGCCAGCAGGTGGCGTCAGCTTTCTCTGTCCTGCCCTCCCGAAAGGAAACAACAGAAAGCACCTCCCAGGCTTTCAGGCGCAGTTTTGTCAGTTCCTGCTCCAACTGCAGGTGGCCTAAGGCACTGCACAGGAGTTATTTCTCAAGTGTACTTTGTCTCAGGTTGGAAGGCTGTCACTGGGAACCAGACAATGGCGGCCTGGCTCACCGCCTAGTGCCCTGATTCTTGGAAGATCAGTGTGGCAGCTTAGAAAGGGAAGGTCCAGCTCTGACAGAAGTGCCTATTGTTCCTTGCAGATCTCAGCTACCTGTACAAGGGTGACAATTACAGCTTTAGACCTGACCTAGGATAGGAAGCTAGGGTGGAAAACACTTGCACAGGCCTAGTATGTGACCAGGAGGGAAGGCTGGGGGTGAGGGAAGGCAGCTGCGCATGGCACTAGAGGGTACAACGCTGCCTGTGCCTAGCCTCTAGCTGCTCCCAAGCCTGGCTTCAAGGAGCAACACAGGTATCTGGTGACGATGCTCTGCCATGGTTTTCTGAAGAAACTTGGCCAGGAGGCTACCACCTGCTGTTCTGGCAGAGTCGGGCTTAATGATCACTAGGCCCACAGCAAACTTAGACAAATCTCCCCAGTGATTCCCACCTCTTGCGCTTTCAGGAGAGGGAGAAAAGCTCTGCTTTGCTGCTGCCCAAGCAGTCTAAGGCAGTGATGGCGACCTTCTAGAGTCTGCAAGGATACACGCAGCCCACTGTGACCCACATGCAATTTGCGCCACTGGTCTAGGGCTTAGGAATTTAGAAAGTTATTATGGCAGCTGCCTCTCAGTAGACCTTGAAGGGATTTTTGAAGATCATCTAGTCCAACCCTTCCCTCCAGACACAGCTTGACTGGAATCAGATGATAATACTTGTATTGCTTAATAAATGGAAACCGTCCTTTGTGTTCAGGTAAGCTAAAGAATATTTCGGACTCATGTGAGCATAGGTCTCAGGTTAAGCACCTGTCCCGGACAGAGGTAGGCTCTGTGGAGAAAGAAGACAGGAGGGGTTGTAGTCAGGCTTGGGGGGTGGCAAGTGGGAGGGGCCCCAGGGAGTTTTCTGAGCACAGGGCATAGCTGTAAACAAAGTGAGAGACACAGGGCCCCAAGCACAGATTGAGGTTCTCCTGCAAGTGGGGTTACGGCCATTCTTGTGATGGTTCCAAGGGACAGCAATGCTCTTGACTTTGAAGCCCAGATAGCTGTCATAGTGTGGCTCTCAGCCGGAGTGGAAGAGCTCAGATTCTCCGGGCACTCACAGTCCAGAGGAGCAAGAACCTTTCACTGTCAAGGATGCCTACTAGGCAGCTTTCTCCCCTGGTCTGTGTCACAGTCATCTATCTTTTCCCTCCCTAGTTCTCTCCTTAGGCTGCAAGCTAATGCCACCCCATCCTTAGCCCTAGCCAAGAGAGAAGCTGCAGCCCCCTTCTGGTCACCCCGAGTCTGGAGTACACCTTCACTTTCTCTTGCCTGCTGTTCTGGATCCTCACATTAGTGCAACAAGTGATAAAACGGACAATAGGGACCTTGGGGTTGAAGAGTTACGTCTCAAGCCAGTCAATGTGGAGCCAAAGAAAGTTGTGCTTCCTGTAAATGCTGGGGCTCCATCAACTCTCCTGTTAACTCAAGGCCATTTTGGAAAGTCAAGTAGGCCTTGCCATCATGGGATCACTTGGGAATAAATAGCACGGGGGCCTTTCTCTCTGGCTGCAATGCCAATGGACCTCACTACACAGCAGCACTTAAAGGTTCTGGGAGTCCTGGCTCCCAGACCTGGGGAAGGGGCATGGGCAAGGGCAAAATGGGGGGAATCTAGGATGCAGGGGCTTCGCCCAGCCTGATGGCCCCAAAGAAGGTGGTGTGTTTGCTCATATTGATGGAGATGTCAGCATGCACCATCTTCACGGCAATCTTCTGCCGGGCCTTGAGGAGGCAGACGCCTGCAGTATAGCAAGTGTTGTAGTTGGTCTTGCCCGTCTCGATGCTGCGGGTGCACTGCAGGAAGGGCTTCTCGTCTACCACCACCTCATAGCTGGCGAAGTCAGTGAAGTTGATGTAGTAGACCTGGGTGAGAGGCAATGAGAAGGGATTGGGGAAGAGAGGAAGGAGAGGTTGGGGGCCCTCCCTTGTGGTGATCAGACAGAACCTTCTCTGATGAGCTGCCAGTGTATCTGGGGGAGGGGCAGTGCCACTTGAAGGCATGCTAGCGGGCCAACAGTCAGAGCAGGGTGACAGGCTTATAGGCTGTCCTTCCTGTAGTCCTTGGAGCTCAGATAGTTAAGCAAACCTTTCTTACAATGGTGTCCCTTCCACAAACTCCGAGAAGACAAACACTGGGTCTTGCTTGCCCTGTCATCACACCTGTCACCCTACCCCTGGCATGAAGCACAGTGGTACCCACACCTTGGATGCTCGATCAGTGTTGCAGACACCAACTAACTTCCAGTTTCAATGCCCAAAGTCCATCTGGGACTAAGCTTAAAAGTCACTGATCCCAGTGGGGACTTGATACTTCTGTCCTCTTTAACAGAAGCTCCCTGAGCTTCAGCACCCTGAGTAGCAGCACCACTGTCTCCTCATTTGATGCCTGAGCAAACAGATCCAGCATGATGGACATCTACCGCACATGATATAGAACGAAATTGGAGGGGAAAAAGCTCAGTCCTCTGATTTTACTCTGTGGTCAGGAGAAGCAAGAACCTAGACCCCACAGCTTGGAGTCATGAGGATTTTGCCAGCCCACACAGGCCACTTCTGAGTCTCTCCTGTCTCCAAGAACTTAGTTTGTCCATCTTTTGTTACCTTTGACATCACACACCATCCCAAGCTTTGATTCTGTGCCACTGAACAGAGCTTTGTCCGCAGGACACTAGGGGTTATATCCACATGCCTCATAGGGTGGGGACTGGTATCTGATACTCCTACCTCTAGCTCTGAGGAAACCCCCAGTGGAGGCACACAATGAGGGATGGAAGTTGGCAGCCACTGGCAGACCTGAAGACTGGGGTCAGGGACAGAAAAGGACAAAGGCAAAAGGAAAAAGGCCTGGGAGAAGGACAGTAGGAAGGAGGCAAGAATAACAGAAACAGAAGGACACAGAAACAAAGGGGAGAAAGAGGAAGGAAAGGCAGTCAGAAATCTTTTTGAGATGGAGAGAAAACTGAAAGGAGCACAACTCATTTTAATGTCTCAGCTAGCAGCATTGTGGGGAAGCCTTCCCAGCAGCCCAGGAGCCAGCTTTCAAAAACTATGCGGAGACCAAGTTCAAGTTTGGCAACAGAAACAGTTCAAGAGGGAAGCAAGAGCCTGGGACCCTGCATCAGGGAATCAGCAGGGTATGAAAGGGGCCTCTCTTCACAATTTTTCAGTGTTGTTTGGGTAGGGGTTTAAAAAAGAAGAAGAAGAAAAGAAACAGCCTCTGCCCTTCAATTCGCTCCCAGTCGGTGCCCCCCACACCCCCAGTTCCCTCACCAGCCAAAGCAGGAAGTTTGCCATTGTATGGCTTTGGCTGGCTCTACAGTGCCCCCAAGTGGTCTGTACAGGATCTGCATTCTGGATATAAGAAGCGTTAGGCCTGAGACCGTACTCACTTCTACCTGACTATAGATGAAGTAGGTGCCGTCCACCAGTACCTCCAGCTCCCCACTGCGGGGGTGTAGCTTAAACACCTTGGGGTTCATAGTGATGCGAGACCAGTCATTGAGCACTCCACCTGAAAGATCTCAGTATGAGAGAAGGGCAGTCACTCAGTACATGTCAGAATAATCTGGACAACAGAAACAATACCAAGCAGTATACAACGCTCCATCCCGTCCCACGTGACTTAGCAGGCCCCGAATGCCAAGGGTCACAAAGCACACCTGGAAGCAGAGTGGGTGTGCTATTTGTAAAGTGGCCGCAGGGCCCACCCAGGACTCCCAGGGTCTGTTTATCTGTGTTTATCCTACCCGGAAGGGTCACTTTAACCAACATTTCCTAGCTGGAATTTGGGAGGAAGTCACCAAGAAGAGTGGGTTCCCTGCTGCACATTCTTTGCTGTTATGGGGCGTGCACAGGCAAAATTCAGGCTCTGAGTGGCAGACTCGTTTTTATTATTCAATCTTGCTTCCCCAGCCCTAGGACCTGAATTGTTCTCCTGTCTCACAGGTTCATGAGTTTTCTTTTCCTTGAGAAATCCTTCCTACAGCTCCACCATGCTCTCTTTCTGGAAATCCTCCCAAGCCCCCAGAAAACCACTCAGTCCAATGAACTGTGTATCTGGAAGATCTTCAAGGATCTTGGTGATTCAGTCACAAGGCCCCACAGGGGAGAGCAATCTTTATGAGAGTGGAGGATGGACCACCAGTTTGCAGTACAAGCTGCCAGGAGGACAGGGGAGGGCATCTAGGGGCAGAGACAGCCTTGGCAACACATCTGTATATAGCTTTACACCAATCACAGAATGTTAGCGTGTAAGGGTAGTGGGAAACTGCCCTTTCCAGCCTTTAGCAAGAAAGATGTTGCTTCCCACCATGAGAAGAAAGCCTAACCCTGTGGAGCTTTTTCTCTCTCTGCCACCTATTCTTCACACAAGAGCCCAATTCAGGAGGCCCGCACCTGAGGTGTAGGGGATCCATTTCCGACCTCCTCAGTATTTCTGGTGGGACAAAAGGTCAGCATGGACTAATATGGAGGAACTAGAAATAGTCTTGTTCTGTGGTCATGGGGGAGAAATCAGCAGCTGCTAGCATGGAATAAACCCTGAGCCTACCTTTGCTTGAGTAGACATTCAAGCAAATCTCTTTCCTGTCTGTCCCAGTGCCCCTGGATGGACAATGATCATGGTTCACCTAGGGTCCTGGGGTCCATTGGACCTGCTCCCCAGCCGGGCAGTTTGGCTTTTGGTGCCCTTCTGCTCCTGTTTATACCTTCGAGGGCATTAAGTCAGGAATCCGGTGGTAGTCAAGAGTACAGTTAAGTCCAGTCATTAAGGAAGCTCAACAAAGCCCATTCAAACTGACTGGGCTCTTATCGTAGAAGCTGTTCCTATGGAACAGGGATCTCAACCCTTATTTACTGTTTCCGCACTCAAAGTCCCTCCATTCTACCATAAGCTCCCCAAGTGTCTGGAACCTGGGCTAGTTCCAGACCTTGGCTAACTCAGACTTTGGGCACCCAGTGAACTGGACATTATTTCAAAGTGTTGTTCATTAATGAATGTTTATGTCTCTTTGGGGGAAAAAATGAACCTAACCATTCAATGGAGTGTACAAACTGGAGTGGCATAGCATAGTAAAAGAGTCAGAGAGGTATAATTTGGAATCTCAGCTCTTAAACTGAAGAAATCTTGGAGCAGTTAATTAACCTCTCTGGGCTTCAATTTCCATCTCCTAGAAAAGGAGCTGATACCTGCCTTGCAGGGTGGCTGGGAGGGTCAAATGTAAGAGCAGACGAAGAGAACACACTGGAAATCCTAAAGTACCACGCAAACATAAGGCAGCATGATTTATTACGGTATTACCCAATCTCTCAGGGACTCTACTTCCTCACCTTTGAAACATAGGGATTATATTAAATCAGTTTTTCTCCACCTCATTAAACACATTCTCCCTTTTAATAGGTACTAGAATTGGTCTATATATCCTGGAGATTTTGGTATGCCCCACTTCCCTGAGAAAAGGGCTCCCATTTTGTGTAGAGTCTTTAGACAAGAACTTAATTTTGCTTAGTGTTGCCTTATCCAATTTATATTATGAAAATGCTTACAAGACTACATATATCTCCATGGTGACTCTGCTCTAGCCTCTATCCCTCAAAAATCCTTAGGTAAGGGGCAGATGAGATAGCTCAGCGGTCTAAAGCGCCTTAGACAAGCTTAGGCAGCTGAAGGGGACCACGGTTCGATTCTGACACCACATGCTGAGAGTGGCCAAAAAGAAAAAAAAAAGAAAATCCTTAGATAATGATGTCTCAGGTCCCTTTCTGGCTCCCTCACCAATGAATTCTAAATGCAGTTTGGGTGCAACTGGTGCTGATGCTGGAAGTTACACAGAATGGCCAGCAGAGGGCAAGATGGAGTAGAGAATGGCCTCCTATGCTAAAGTACCTCAGAAGCCTGGGAGGAACTAGTCTGGGTGATTCTTTGGAGGGTGGGGGTGAAGGAAGGCAGAAGCTCCCTTTAGGGGAAGCCCACTTTGATTCTTACCATTTTTGACTTGAATTGCTGACCCTTGGCCCTGCAGATGCACCACAGCCGGCTGGAAGGACAAGGATAGAGTAGTCACCGTCAAGGCTGCTTGCCGGGCCACAGGTTTCCATGCTTTTTCCTACCCCTGCTTTCTAGTCTTTCCTTTTCTATTCCAACCCAGATCCCTCTCCTGTCTTAGTTTGTTAGTGAGCCTGTTTCTATGAGAGGGGAATCTGATTTTGCAGATCTGCTCCGTCCTCGCTAGGAGATCTCAGCCAAATATCCTGCCTCTGAGCCTCATTTCCCCAACTGTAAAATAGGGATTATAAGGATTGCTGTCTGGCCTGTCTCACAGGACGTTTGAAGATCAAATGAGGTGATGGATATAAAATTGCCCCACAAAACCATCAAGCACCGCGCAGCTGTGTAGATTTATCACTGTGGCCAAACAGCTGTCGTGCGGCGGCTGTGATGAGGCAAGGCGAGGCCAGGCAGCAGAACCTGCCAATAGAGACAGATTAGGAAGCTCAAAGACTAGGGAGGAGCCCTTCAGCCCATTAAGGGAGAAGCCCAGGCTGGGCCGGGCCTGGAGCTGCTTGGCTGTTTTTCAAGGACATATTCTCAAACGTCTCAGCTCTGATCCCAGGCATCTGAGTGCCAGCGGGGTGCTAGGGAGTTGGCAGCCCAGGTGAACAGGCCGGACTGGCAGTTCCTTTCTGCCCATTACTGACCTTGGCTGTGGTGACCCTCACTCTCTTTGTGGGAGGAAGAAAAATGGTCCTGGCCAGATAAGGTTCCCTTAGCTAAAGCGAGGCCCTACAGCGAAGCTTTCCTCTTCATAGACACAGGGCAGGGCAGCTATGAAAACCTTGAAGCTCCAGGGCATCCTCACAACATAAAGCCTGAGGAAATTTCGCTGGGAACTGACTTCAAGGCCTTTCTAAGCCTGTATGTAGCCTGCCCTCCTCCCCAGGAAGACAGCAATCCCCAGCCAACCTGGTTCTCTCTAGTTCCAGCTTTATCAGCAGCACCTGCAAAATAAGACAGCCCAGTCAGAGGGCACACTCTTTCTACTGCCCTGTCTCCTCACCTCAGGAGCCAGGGGCACTGAGCCTTGCTCCCTCAGCTATTCCGATCTAAGCTTTCTTCCCCAAGGATTAGAGCCAGACGGAGAAGCCAAGTGCAAGGCAGGATCCCTGGATGGGAAAGGACATCCCTTCATTTTCCTGGCTATCCCTGACCTTCATCTGGGGGCAAACAGCACCAGGCAGGGAAGCTGGGCTTTTGCGAATGCTAGCCCAAGGCACGCCCCACTGAGCACCAGTGGAGGGCAGAGGGAAGGCACTCCAGGGTGCAGGTGCCAACAGCACTTGCTTCTCGAGCCTTCCGTTCCCTTTCTGTTGTCTTCCAACAGCCCATTGTCATTTGTAAAAATCTTGTTTCTTTGTCATCTTCTCTAGGACATACTCCACGAGAACAAGGATCACTTAGCCATATATTTCTCTGTACACAGAAAATGCTTGATAAATACCTGTGCAATGATTGGATTAAATGGGGGAGGGAGCCCTAGCTCTGTCTCTTGTGACCATGGTAACACTCTTAGCCCTGTTTGAATTACAAGTTAGAGAATCTGAGCCCTGCTGCTGAATTTTAGACCTAGTAAAATCAGCTATAAAGTGTCCACTACTTTAAAACTCCAAGATACAGGATGGGAGCAGAACAAAAAAATAACTGACGTAAGTCCAGGCATTCTGACTCCTGTCAATTCAACTGATTGAATTAGGCTGGCTTGGATGTGCAGCTATCCCTTTTGGCTGCCCTCTGGTCCCTGAAGAAAGATGCAAAGGGATGAATGGTATTTCAACAGGCAGCGTGATGGGGCAGTGACCTAACTCCTGCAGCACGTGGTTCTGGTGCTTGCTAGCCTTGGTCCCTGGGTTGGCTGTGCCCATAGCTCGAGTGACTCATATTGCCAGCTTCTTGACCATCAGTGACTACTTGTCTACAACTGTGAGAGAGGCACTTCAGAGTTCCTGAGATGAAAACTATCCTAGGGCTTGTCATTGTGTCCTGTCCCCGGCATTCCTCCCCTCGGCCTATTTCCATGCAAACATCAGTAGCTGGATGCTGGGAATCACAGCAGACCAAATCCATTGTCCATTGGAACTTTAATGAGCCACCAGGGCCTCTGGCTCTGGCTCTTGGGAGTTTATTACTGGTCCATGATAGGAAGCTTTAGAGTATGAGAGGGACTGTGATGGAAGTGGTGACATGGGGCAAGAACAGGTGGTACAAACAAATTAGAGCAGGCCAGGGCCCATTGGCTTTTCCAATTCCTAGCTTTATAATGGGTGAGGAGATCTGTATTTGTTATTACACACCAACCCCAGCACCACTATTTAAGACTGCTCCCAGGGTCAGCCATTCCTGCTCTGAAAAAAAATATTTACAAAGTTCCTAGGTAGGTAAAGAGACAGGGAAACTCACCAGAAGGTCCCTGGAGGCCAGGGAGTCCTTGAGGACCAGGGGGACCAGGAGGACCAGGTGGTCCCATAACAGTTGTTCCTGGAATTCCAGGAATCCCTGGAATCCCTGGGGGTCCCTGTGGTCCTGGAGGCCCTGGAGGACCGGGAGGACCATTGGGCCCAGGTGGCCCTGCCTTCTTTCCTGAAAAACAGGAATCAACATTACATTTGTAGTCACTTATTACAAATAGTATATTGTCAGGGGTGTACTGTTGAGAGTTCTAGAAACTTCCAACAACACAAAGTCAGACCTCTGAGAATACCTGCTAAAGAGCCAGACATTTTAATCATAGATAGTCCCCTCGAACCACTCTTTTCTAGACATGTTTGAGTATTTAGAAATAGATGACTCTAACATTAATGGGGGAATAGTCAGAGTCACAGGACAGTAGAAGTGCTACATTAGTATAGGGGTCAAAGGCTGAAGAGCGCAGGGAAGACTTCAAAAAGGAGGTTATGTTTCAGTTGAGTCCAAAGGATGAGAAATACCAAGCAATCGGACATATGGGCACTTTACGGTTCTTTTTAGACTTGGGCTATTCTTGATGAGTTGGGACTTTCATGTTAGTAGCCCAGGCTGGTGGAACCGATGTGCATAACAAGAGGAAGCTGGATAGCCTGAGCTTATTAGCTTGAGGGAGGTTCCTGTAGGAGTCAGGACATGCAGGAGGTGTGGGGGATGTTGGGCTCAGGGCTAGGTGGAAATGAGCGATGGGAAGGAGTTGTGGAAATGAGAGATGGGGATAAGGGAAAGGGAGGGAATGAGGGAGA